CGTAATCAGATTACTTTTTCAAGTAACTAGTAAAGTAACGCATTACTTTTTAATTTACAAGAGAATATCTGAGTTACTTTTCCAAATAAGTAACGCAAGTTACTTTTTTTTCAATTTATTGATCGTCAGCTCTCCTGTCCCCATGCTGAGAGAAATCAGATGATGTTACTGTAGTTCTAGAATAAATATGAATATGCATTAATTCATCTCACTCACAAAACACACAGATTCAGTATTCCTCAAAATGAATAAAAATAATGCAACTCAGAATATGACGCAAACCTGCAATAATTAAATGTTAAGCAACACAAATATGCTTTATGTATTTAATCCCATTCTATTAACCAATGTCTTTGCTTCTGAGCTTCGATGATCCAGTTCAACCGTACTAATGAGCACAAATTACTCTAGACAAACATTCGTGTGTCTTTGTTTATTGCTGAAGTGTTGAAATGTTGTCTTCTGCGTTCTACTGTACTTTCCCTTCAGCCTGAGGCTTATTCATTTCACTTTTGGTGTGAAAAGGCTGTTATATTTGCCAAAAATATAACTTTTTTTTTTATTTTAAAAACAAACAAGCAAGCCCTGTCCAGATTTAAAAAGTCACATAACGCATTACTTTCCATAAAAAGTAACTAAGTACCATAATTAGTTACTCTTTTTTTTTTTATGGAGTAACGCAATATTGTAACGCATTACTTTTAAAAGTAACTTTCCCCAACACTGATCACGACTAAACACGAATACATAAATATTTTTGCGTATATATTCACCTGTTTTTTTTTTTATTCTTCTTTATATCATCACCAACGTCCTCCAGAGGAGACTAAAGAGGTCATGTTCAGTTACATTATGTTAGAGTTTGTTGTTGATTATTAGTGATCGTGCTCTGTCACACTTTTAAATCTGAATATTAAACTCGTCAAGTGTGTTTAACCCCATAAGGCCTACTGTATTATATTTAATAGACACATTTTTAAGGCATGTAAATCATCACCATGATCAGATTTCCTCAAAAGCACAAAATTATACATGCCTTCTGTTGTCTGATTAATAGTTTATCATTGTTTTATCAAGAAATAACATCCCCTTCACGTCGTCATACGCGTGTTGTTTTGCTGTGAAATCTTTACTGTAAACTTAAGAATACATTTTAAATTGTTAACAGTATTTCAGGATGAACATTTCCGGGACTGAAGCAACTTGGGTTTATTTGATTATCCATTTTTATTTTTTTATTTATTTTTTTTGAAAAATAATGTTAAAATGTGTTTATCAAATATGGTCATCAGGCTTTTGAGGAACATTTATTTGTTCATCTCTCAATCACAATTGTATTGCATTGCATTTTATGTTTTGATACTACAGAGCTTTGAACATCACAATTAAAGGGGTCATATGATGCGATTTCAAGTTTTTCTTTCTCTTTGGAGTGTTACAAGCTCTTGCTGCATAAAGAAGATCTGTAAAGTTGCAAAGACTAAAGTCTCAGATCCAAAGAGATATTCTTTATATAAGTTAAGAGTCAGCCACGCCTACCTAAAACAGCTCGTTCGAACACGCCCCCACATGTCTACATCACTATGTGGGAAGATTTGCATAACGCCGCCCAAATGTTCACGCAAAGAAAGAAGGCGTAACTTTTATTCTCGCTGTAGTTTTGTTACTGCCGCCGCCATGTCGTGAAGGCACTGTGTTTCGTTATGAAAGTGAAACTACTTTGTTTGGTCTTCCAAAAATGGACACGACTAGAAAAAGGAGTAACTATCCTGAGCTGAAGCAGTTAGGCAAACGTTTATGTGCATTTCATGGTTTTAAGGTTTTAGATGATCTACTATAATCTAATAAATTATTTGTGATTTATATGATGCTGGTGAAGTAGTGATGGCATAAATTTAGTGATAGCAAATTCATTTATTTTGAAGAATAAAAAATATGATGGAATATTTCATACACAAACTACTACAGTATTATTATCCAGACATGTCAACTCAAATATAGACTGGTTATAGACATGGTTATTATAGTTTACTAAAAAAAAAAATATATATATATATATATATACACTACCGCTCAAAAGTTTGCGATCAGTAAGACTTGTAATGCTTTTTAAAGAAGTCTTTTATGCTCAAGGCTGCATTTATTTGATGATAAATACAGAAAAAAATTAATCTTGCAAAATGTTATTACAATATAAAATGTTTTTTTTTTATTTTTTATATCCTTTAAAATATAATTTATTTCTGTGATCAAAGCTGAATTTCCTTCAGCCATTACTCCAGTCTTCAGTGTCACATGATCTTCAGAAATCAATAATATGCTGATTTATTATCAGTGCTGGAAACTGTTGTGCTGCTTAATATTTTTTGGGAACCTGTGACACTTTTTTCAGGATTTTTTGATTAATTAAAAGTTGAAAAGAAGAGCATTTATTTAAAATAGAAGTGTTTTTTTAACAATATACTCTACAGTTCAAAAGTTTGGGGTCGGTACACTGAAAGAGACCGAAATGCTCAGAAAAATTCCCTTGTAATGAATTTCCCAGTCTTTCATTTCTAATATCTAATAAAGATTGTAAGACTCTATTCTAGTTTTAAGGTAAAATCCCAAATCTAATTGAATATAAATCTGATTGACTGATGATTTTGTTGATGAACTGCAGTACATTATTCATTCTTTTTTTTTTGAAAGAAATTAAAACTTTTATTCAGCAAGGATGTGTTAAATTGATAAGTGATAGCAAAGATTTATATTGTTAGAAAAGATTTATATTTTGAATAAATGCTGTTCTTTTTAACCTTTTATTCATCAAAGAATCCTGAAAAAAGTATCGGTTTCCAAAAAATATTTGGCAACATTGATAATTCTAATAATAAATCAGCATATTAGAATGATTTCTGAAGGATCATGTGACACTTTATACTGGAGTAATGGCTGATGGAAGGATGTTAAAATAGAAACCATTATTTTATATTGTAATAACATTTTGCAAGATTACTTTTTTTTTTCTGTATTTTTGATCAAATAAATGCAGCCTTGATGAGCATAAGAGACTTCTTTAAAAAATATTACAAGTCTTACTGATCCCATGTATGGTATGCATGGTATGTATGTATGTATGTATGAACTTTTATTTCAGCTAGTTTCCAAGGCAACATTTCTAATTTTCATTTAGTTTACCTTGAAGTACTAAAATAACTAGAACTAAATAAACTAAGACAAACAAATAACTATTAATAAAATAAAAATGACCGACTATTTAATAAAACAACAACTAATAAACATGACAAAAACATGCTACAAAATTAAAACTTTAATTAAAGTGAAAAATAATTCAAAATAATAACAAGAACTATAATAGTATGTCAGTGATACTAAAATAACACTGTTTCCAGAATAAAATCAAAATTGTATTGATACTCCACTCAAAATTTAAAAAGAAATAAAAATCATATTTTTTGAAGAACTTGGGGAACCGAACAACACCGACTTGGACAGAATTTGACAAATCACTGATATTTTTCAAAATAGTTTTGGAACAACATGAAGGTGGGAAAATAACCACATAATTTAAATTTTTGGATGGAGTGTCACTTTATCTTCAAATTAAAAGACGTAGAGGTAGTGTGGTGTACTTTGATACTTTTCTCTCCGTTTGTGTGGTTGTGTTTCTATTATTCAAATGAATCAATGTGGCGGCAGTGTCTCCTGAGAGCTGCTCACAGTGTGTGTATGTTGTAGCTAGGGATGTACCGATATGAAAATTGACCGATAATTCTTTATTTTTGAAAGCCGATAACCGATATGTTGGCCGATAAATCTATATCCAAATTTTTATATACTTTTTGAGAGCCTGATTTAAAAAAAAAAGGTCTCATCATTAAAAGCCACATGCCAAACACTTCAACATAAGCAGCCTAGTTTGATCGGTGTACGTTTAAAAAAATTATTTTACTTTCCCATTACCAAATTTAGTCAAAGTCTTACAAATAAATAAAAATACTGCATAAATAATGCAAACAAGTCACTGGACATCATTACACGTGTAAAGAATCAAAATGAATGCGCCATAGATCAATAAAACGGAATAGCCTCTGCACGGACAATAATTAAATGATTTTAATTACTAAACCATATTGTTGATGAAAATAATAAGAGAAAAATACAAGTGGTTGTTGTTATTAATAATATATCAATGATTGTGAAAAAGTAACAAATTAATGCCACTGTTTTAAATAGCAGCCTGCTGGCAGCTTATTTAACTCAAGGAAATGCATCCTGAGATTAATATTAATACAACACAAACATAATATTACAACTTATATATGTACAAAATGATGCAGTTATTGCGTGCTATAGTCAGAATGTGTGATCCTGTTGTGGATGCGCTCTTCCCATATCAACGCGCTGAAACACAGCAACTAAACCCAAAGAATTCACAACGTTTTATTATAATAATGTTCTCATTAGAATGTTATATACACGACATTCCCAATCATAGTTATTAATGTTGTGCACTGCTGTTTTAGCTGCGTGCGCTGAGCTAAAGACGATCACCGGTAAACTGAAGCGCTCTTTTAACTTAACCAAACGCATTCTATACGAGATAAATCAGATATACATCAGATAAACACGATATTACAACGTACAATTGCACAAAAGGCTGCAAACGAACAGCGCGCATCTGAAGGAAATAATGCATTATTTATCGGCTTTAAGATATCGGCAAAATTTTCTTATCGGGCCGATACCAATAACAGAAAAAATTAGCATTTATCGGCCGATACCGATATGGTGGCCGATATATCGTGCATCCCTAGTTGTAGCAGAGTGCAGATGGATACTACTCTTGTGTTGGTGGGGAAATGTTATTATTTAGTGTTTTGATTGCTTGAAACCTGTGCTTCAGCAGAATAATACTGTACGCCTGACCCAGCTGGAAGGCAAGGGAGTTGATTTGGTGTGTGTTTGTGTTAACAAAGCCGCTAGTGTACGTCTCTCTGGCATGATCACACATTATTTGTTCTGAAAGAGTGATTTGTCCTAACAGGTCCGTCAATGCACCCCTCCGAGTTAATGGCAGAGATGCGAAACAGTGGGTTTGCGCTGAAGAAATGTGTCCTTGGGAGGGACAGCACCATGAGTGATCCAGCACAGGTAATCTCCTGGCCCCTGCCCAAATATGACCCATGATATCCATGGCTGGAGCTCAGCGTGGGATTGCAGAAAAACATCCAGTTATTGAACCGACGGCTGACGAGCGATTCCCTAGAAACTAGAACTGATTAGACCAACAACTACAATTGCAAAAGAGCAGAGACATGCTGGATTTCACACTGTGCTTCTACACAACCGTGTTAATGTGTGTGTTTGTGCTTCAGGAGCTTGTGGCCAGTGAGGAAGACGACCCTGAGGTGGAGTTCCTGAAGTCTCTGACCACCGAAAAAAAGCAGAAACCGCTTGGGTGTGATTATTTATTACACATACACAACCAGCGGTCTTTATAATAATCACATTGATGTCTAATTACTATTAATATAAAGTGGTATAAATAAAATGGTCACACTTTAATTTCATTATTAACTATTATTTTGCCTCAATAAACGCCTAATTTGCTGCTTATTAATAGTTGGTAAGGTAGTTTTTAAGTTTAGGTGTGGGGTAGGATTAAGGAATCTAAAATAAGGCATTAATATGTACTAATAAATAGCCAATATGCTCATAAGAGGCATGCTAATAAGCAACTAGTTAATAGTGAGTATTGGACCTCAAAATGCAGTGTTACCAATTAAATGAAATGAAAAGAAAAAAAAGTAATATTATTAGTGTCACCTAACTATTTTAATTTATTTTCTTTTTTTGAGATTGAAAAATAGAATATCTGTCATTTTTAAAGTCTTTATAAAGTAGTTTTAGTTCAAGCAAGTAGCTGTTTAGCATAAATAGTGGCATTAGCCTTCCATTTGTGTTGCAATAATTTATTAACCACAAATACAACCAAATGTACATTGGTTATATAATATACACACTATATACTACTGTTTAAATGATTGGGGTTGGAAAGATTTTTAAAAATGTTTTAGAAAGAAGTCTCTTATGCTCACCAAGGCTGTATTTATTTGGTCAAAAAGATCGTAAATACAGCAATATTATGAAATTGTATTACTTTTATTTTTTAATTTGAAATAACTGTTTTCTATTGTAATATATTTTAAAATGTAATTTCTTCTTGTGATCAAAGCTGAATTTTCAGCATCATTACTCCAGTCTTCAGTGTCACATGGTCCTTCAGAAATCACAATAATATGCTGCTCAAGAAACATTTAATCTTATTATTATTAATGTTGAAAACAGTTGTGCAGCTTAATATTTTTGTGGGAACCATGATGCATTTATTTCAGGGTTCTTTGATGAATGGAAAGTTCATAAGAACAGCAATTATATAGAGTAGAACGTTTAAACACCAGTGTATATAAACACACCATATAAATATAAAATGCACACAAAACCAAATGGAAAATGTCCACAATATACTGTAACGATGACCAATTAATCTGCTGTCTGATAACTGTCATCCCCTTCTTTTTTTAGAAAACTTGACCGTCTTGAAAAGAAAAAGAAGACCAAAAAGAAGCAGAAAAAGAAACCAGTTAAGAGTACGAGTTCATCCAGCAGCTCATCAGACAGCAGCGGCGGCTGAAAGAAAGCCAAGAAGAAGAGCAAGAGAAGGAGAGACCCGTCCAGTGACAGCAGCTCTGAGAGAGAGCGCGAGAAAGGCTCCAAACACGCACATTCAAAACACAATGAGCACAGAGTTCAGAGGTCACCAGACAAGCACAGCAGAGAGAGATGGAGAGACGACAAAGAGGGAGGTAGAGATAGACACAGGAGCAGGAGCCCTCGGTGACAGAGAGATGAGAAAGAGAGAGGTAAGGAGAGACACAGGAACAGGAGTAGGAGTAGGGAGAGGAGGAGAGAACGGAGCAGGAGCCCTCGGTGACAGAGAGATGAGAAAGAGAGGTAAGGAGAGATACAGGAGTAGGAGTAGGGAGAGGAGGAGAGAACGGAGCAGGAGCCCTCGGTGACAGAGAGATGAGAAAGAGAGGTAAGGAGAGATACAGGAGTAGGAGTAGGGAGAGGAGGAGAGAACGGAGCAGGAGCCCTCGGTGACAGAGAGATGAGAAAGAGAGAGATACAGGAGTAGGAGTAGGGAGAGGAGGAGAGAACGGAGCAGGAGCCCTCGGTGACAGAGATGAGAGAGAGAGAGGTAAGAAGAGATACAGGAGCAGGAGTAGGGAGAGGTGGAGAGAACGGAGCAGGAGCCCTCGGTGACAGAGATGAGAGAGAGAGAGGTAAGAAGAGATACAGGAGCAGGAGTAGGGAGAGGAGGAGAGAACGGAGCAGGAGCCCTCGGTGACAGAGAGATGAGAAAGAGAGAGGTAAGGAGAGATGCAGGAGTAGGGAGAGGAGGAGAGAACGGAGCAGGAGCCCTCGGTGACAGAGAGATGAGAAAGAGAGAGGTAAGGAGAGATGCAGGAGTAGGGAGAGGAGGAGAGAACGGAGCAGGAGCCCTCGGTGACAGAGAGATGAGAAAGAGAGGTAAGGAGAGATACAGGAGTAGGAGTAGGGAGAGGAGGAGAGAACGGAGCAGGAGCCCTCGGTGACGGAGAGATACAGGAGTAGGAGTAGGGAGAGGAGGAGAGAACGGAGCAGGAGCCCTCGGTGACGGAGAGATACAGGAGTAGGAGTAGGGAGAGGAGGAGAGAACGGAGCAGGAGCCCTCGGTGACGGAGAGATACAGGAGTAGGAGTAGGGAGAGGAGGAGAGAACGGAGCAGGAGCCCTCGGTGACGGAGAGATACAGGAGTAGGAGTAGGGAGAGGAGGAGAGAACGGAGCAGGAGCCCTCGGTGACGGAGAGATACAGGAGTAGGAGTAGGGAGAGGAGGAGAGAACGGAGCAGGAGACTGGAGCAAAGAACGAGACAAGGGCAAGAGAGAGAAGCAGAAGTCGGGAAAGAGTAAGAAACTCTGATAGAGATGAACCCAGTAGAGGGAAATAGCTGAAAGTGGACACCATCATTACTTCACTGACTTCTCTCAGATTAAAGGAATGATTCAAATGAAGCTTCTTGCAGAATTTATTCACATGTTGTTCCTC